CAATAAAAATCTTAAAAATATTTAATTTGGAAGATGCTTTCCTAGGACCCCAGGTGATTTCCTTTGATAAATGTGGGTGATTGCTTGTAGGAGAAGTTGAGACCTTAAGTGGCACTGTCTGTGGGAAGATCAGCAATCCCTGCCCTGGTCACCAGTAGAAACAGAGCCACTCAGGGCTCTGGGCTGAACTGCTAGGGTCATAAACCTGACCTGTCTAGGCTTATGACTCAGTGAGCCTCAGCTTCCTTATCTATGAGCGAACAATGGGACCAACCTCATAGATTTATTAAGATCACCCAGACCAGGAAGGGCTCCTGTGGGGGGGCGCTCAGAAAACCCTTCTTTGAGAGAACATGAAGCTTGTTGGGTGTAGACCCAAGGGGTCCAGCATCTTCTTGAACAGGGTACAGGTGAAAGACTAGTCACAACCTTAGTTAGAGGCCCAGGACAGGATCCTTGGACCAGAATGACTGCTGTGAGGGGATCTGGGGAGTCATCAAGCTGAGGAACCTGACTCTTTTGCCCCGACACCAGCCACCACTCATGTTAATTTTTTTCATACCAGGGCTCAGCACTCTGAGAGTCTCCAGCAAGTCTGAGGCTCTTATCTGATTTGTGAGACTGTCAGCTGTCCCCACAGGGGAACTAATAGCCTTAAGCTTGGGTACCAGGTCCCTGCTGTGCCCCCTGCAACTCCCTCCCCCCACCACTGGAGGAGGATGGCTTTCTTGCAGACAGTAACATAAGTACCCCTGCCCACCAGCCACTACCATCTCTACCAGTTCATTCCTCATGGATTCAATGAGTATTTATTGAGTACTTGCTGTGAGTCAGACCCTGAGCTCAAGGCTGACACATTCCTCTCCCTCAATATCCCAGTACCCTGGGCACCATCATGATTTCTCTCTTCCAATTTGACAGATGAATAGGCTCAGAGAGATTGAGTAACTTACCAAAAGCTTCAGAGCTAGTTAGCAGAGGACTTGGGCCTTAAACCTCAATCTAGGAAGCTGTCATTCCCATGGGCTGGAGTCCACTAGCTAGCTGCCCATCTTCCGCTGGGAGACCTGAGCTCCACTGATCTGCCCACTCCCCCAAGGCCCATCACTTCTCTCTCCCAGGTAAGGAACTGCATGGCATTTGTTGCTCCCTCACCAGCCACAGCCAGCAGTGTAGTGGTGAGGATGAGTCACCAAGGGAGGGCAGCCATGGGGGCATGAGTGGGAGAGGCCTGGCCAGTCTACAAGGCTGGAGGAGAAGATGGAGAGGCAGGCAGCACAGGGGGAGAGAAGAACATCCTGGGAATTCCTGACACCCCCATCCTCCTTCAGATCCCCAAAGCTGTGCTCAGCCCAGGACCACCCTAAAGGTCCTGGCCAGGCAGGTTCAGGGAGGAGGGAGCCGGGGAACTGAGGGGAGGCAGGAGACAGAACCTGAGGGAGCTACAAAGCTCAGCCCACTTTCTGGGTCCCCAGAAGAGGCAGTTTCTGCTGCAGGGCTTCAAGGATGTAGCAGTGTCAGCTTACTCTGGCTTGACAGTTGTCACCTCAAAGCCACCCTCTACAGTCGACAAAGTACCTCTGCCCCCTTCTTGGCATCAGCAACAGCATCTTTCTGTACCTAGCTCCATGCTAAGGGCTTAAGGTACATTGCACCACCTTTGTTAAACTTGAAACCTCTGTAAAGTCCATCCTGTCTTTATCTGCATTTTACACTGCTCTTTCATACTTAATTAATACTGTTTTTAGTACTATTGTGTGTATAAGCTTGTAGGGGTCAGAAGACATCTTTGCAGAGGAGCTGCTTCTCTCCTTCCACCTTTACACAGGTCTTGGCATCAAACTCAAGTAAGTAGGCTTATACAGCAAGCTTGTCACCCTCTGAGCCGTCTCTCTGACCTGCACCTTTGTTTTTTGTTTCACTCTGAGACAGGATATCATGTAGCCTAGGCTAGCCTTGAACACCCTATGCAGCCCAGGATGGCCTTGATCTCCTCCTGATCCTCCTGCTTCTCTGTCTTTGGCATGTTGGGATCACCTTGCTAAAAGAAAGCGAGCTCTCTCCTTCAGGGATCACAGTCCATCAGCCAGTGTGGAGCCCCTCCCCCACTCCTCAAACCCACCTGCACAGGCACCCACATATTCACTTGCATACACTCCCTCCCTCCAGGCATAGAGGCACTGTCTTCCTTGTTGAGGGAGCCCAGGACAGACTGGGTCCAAGGTTGCTTGGTTCTCTGTGGGAGCGACTCTCACTGGTTGACTGCCTCTGAGTCCGCCAATTCTAGCCCCACTTCTGGAGCTTTCAGTAGAACGTTTTGGCACGTTCACAGTTCAGTCTCCACAGGAACAACAGGAATCAGTTTCAGTCACCAGCTCCAAGGGGCAGCGACAACTGTATATCCTGTTCCCAGGTACAGCTGAGGGTCTCCAGGACAGCAAGGGCAGAGTGGGACAAACATACATGTTGTGGCATGTTAGCATGTGCCCGGCCAGGTGAGCCTGCCCCAAGCCACTAAAAAGATGAAGCAACTCAGAAATGTGTCTGCCAGGAACCCCATGGGAAGAGTGTCCTGTCCTGTCCCCCATCTAATGGCTAAGGAAACATGAAGGGCTGAGTGGTGGTCTCAGTAATGTTCTTGAACAAATGCCATTGACTTTGGAGAAGTGCATGGGAGGAGGTGGACACCCCTGGGGTCATGGATGGGGAGATGGATAGTCTCTTGTTACTCAAACACCATTCTTCCAATGTGGCCAGGCCTGCCTCAGTGGTAGTGAGCACTCCGTGTCTAACAATATGCAAGCTGATGCCAGAGAGAGCCAACAAGGGACCCCAGAGGGGCTTGTCCTTTGTGGTATTTGGTGTGAATGCCCTCTGATCTCTGGGGCCTTGGTCCCATGTTTTCTCAGTCCTCCAGCCTATCAGCTGTGACCATGGATACGTACATCTGTTCTCCCAGGAGGCTGGAAGCACTTGAAACACAGGGATGCTGTCCTGTTCACTCCAAGGCCCCAGGACTCAGCCCCTCTCCTGGCATACAAGGTCTGGGAACTTATGCCTCCTTCACAAAGCATTGTGGGGCTTCTGCCTCCTTACCAACAGACTTGAGAACCCTGGAACATAGGCAGAGCTCAGAGACTCTGTCTATACCAAGCACTACCGAAGGCATGAGCCTTGCCTCTGGTGACTCTCCTCAGCTCCTCTCTGGCTCTGCTTGCATGCTTCTAATACCTTCTAATACAGCCTCTTCCACCATGGAAAGGTCTGAGCCATTATTACCAGGTCTAGGCTCTCTGGAATTCTACCCCCAGATCTTGCTTATAGTGGGACGTGTCTCCAAGTTAGGGAGGGCACCCAGGGATGACATTGTACACTAGTGACTCTAGGTCCCTTCCTGCAGCAGCCCAGAACCCTGCATGCTTGTCTGGAAAGACAGATGAAGGAGACAGCGAATTTATCATCCCAGTTCTGTTGAGCAGTGAGCCAAGGGACAAAACTCTTCAGAGACCATGCCATGCCAGAGCCCCTGATCAGGGACAGGTGGCTGGGCATGTGTTTCACTCAGTACACCTCAAGGCAATTCTGAGCCACAGCCACAGACGTGACTCGCCGAGTGATTCATTCATTACTGGCCAGCATTAGCCAGGTGTTCTGCTGGGCTCCGAGCTGGGTGGCACTGTGAGATGGGAGTCTAGTTGCCTTGGTAATCAGAAGGCTAAGGGCCACTGAGCACTCACATTTTATGTACCAGGCACTGTTCTGTTTACTTCCTTGCAAAGGGCACAGCCCCTCCTGCCCAGCCCTAGCTGTGAAGAAGGAAGTGGAACCTGCCTGGCATGCTAGCGACTGGCACATGGTCAGATCTCCTTAAGCACAGGCTGATGCTCTAACTCCAGCCACAATAGCCAATCCCATTTAGTAGATAAGAAGGCAAGACACCAGAGAGGTTAAGGTGACTTTATCGCCCAGGGCCATGCTAAAATACAGAGCCATGGTCTGAACCTAGGTGGTCCAGTTGTACAGCCTGCTGGGTTAACCCTTAAGGCTCTGGAGTTGAAACAAACAAACGAAAACATACCTCTCTGGAGGCTGGGAGCCACTCCCCTCTCTGCCCAACTTCCTTACCTTGTGAAATGGAACCAGTCTGCGGCCTTTTTTCTCAACCCCTTCCTCTCTCCAGGCCTTCTGTGGCCTTCAGACCACATGACAAGATGCCACAGTAGTCACTCCTAAGGAGTTCACACAAGCCCAGGATCAGGCAGGGGGCTCAGTGTTTGTCGGAGCCTCCCCTAGCCTGACAGGCTCCCACAGACCTTTAAGGAGCCCGGAACTGCCCCATCACACCTCCTTTTGCACGGGCTTAGATAAAAGGCCTGCCATTATTTGGTAGCCCCCCCCCCCCAGCATTCTGCAGCCCCTGGTAAGATCCCTGCTGTGCAATAGTGCAGCATTCAGCAAGGGGGCCGAGAGGAGGTGAGGTAGGGGTCCCTGTTACTTGGCAGTCCCAGCAAGTTGGGGAGCCAGGCCGGAAGAAGTATTAATGACTCCCGTCTGTGAACTGGGACTCGTCCACCTACTTAACGGTTTGAGAACGCAATTTCCTATTGTAACTGCAACCGACGACCACAATTACCCTAGATATTTTCCACTTGGGGGTCATTACCAGCCAAACCAGGTCTCTTCCATCCTAGACACCCACCTAGGCCCGAGGACATTCGACAATGGGTGCTTTGTCAACTCGTGGGAGTGTCCTCAGTCCTGGAAAAGGGGCGCTGTCCTCAGAACTTGCTGAGAAAGTCCTGGGTGACGGGCGACGGTGTGTCACGGTCTGGGGTTCCCCTAGCCGCGCGTGGATGCGCCCCACCGCAGGCGGCGCCCCGCAAGGCCTGGGCGGTAGCTCCGGGTCTCCCATCCCACCTCCGGGGCGAGGCAGACCAGCGCGTGGGAGGGGACGGCGCGCCATTGGCTTGTGTGCCGAACGAGGAGGGACCAGCGCGGGCCACCAGACTCGGGTGAGCCGGCTGGCGCAAGAGTCCGGCCGCCCTGCCCTGCCCTGCCCGCAGTTCCCTGCGCGGCGGCGCGATGTGAGGCTCCCGGGACCTGAGCGTCGGCCGGGCTCCCCAGCTCCGCTAGCGCGGCGTCTCGCGCTCTAGGAACGTAAGTCAGCTCTTCGCCGCCCCGAACCTCGCGCTGCCCAGCCGCTGCCACCACGCCGGCCTGCGCAGCACAGCCCGGGCTCCGGGGACAGCAAGGACCCTGCGCACGCCAGCCCGGCGCGGGGACAGCTGGGCACCTGCGGGTCTGGGGGCCCTGGGGACCCTCTCTGGGCTCAGCGAGGCGCCGTCCGCTACCCTTTCTGCGTGTCCCGTTGCACTGACTTGGTTTTCTTTTCTCCCCGACTCCCTGCTACTCCGCCACCTCCTTCCTCCCGGGCTGTTGGTTTGGCTCACCGCCTCTCCCAGGCGGTGCTCTTTACTTCGCAACCCGAGAGAAGCCGAGCAAAAACGCAGTTTCTTCCTCGGCCGGGGTCTCTATCGCCTCGCTTGATTCTCCGTCCCCTCCCCCTTCGCTCTCCCCACCGCACCCCCTCCTGTCTTTGTCTCCTGGTCCGAGGAGTGCGCCCTGCAAACTTGCAAGTCTCTGGGTCCTCGCCCCCGCAGGGACGCGCGTGGAGGAGGTGGCGGGATCCCTGCTGCCCACAGGTCTGGCTGGACCTTCTGGGGTTGGAGGCGGTGGCTGAGGAGTCGGGGATACCCGCTGCCCGGAGCCTGGGCCTCACAAAGTGGGGGGGGGGGGATGCCTCGCGGAGGTGAGGGACAGATTGGATGGGAAGGGGCCAGGCCGGGGACTCCCCAGTTCCCAACCTGGAGAGAAGCACCCAGAACCCCAGCCCGAGGGGGTTGCAGGTGCACCGAGGCGTCCCCCTCTCCCCAGGCCGCGAGATCAACTGCGAGAGGACTGTGTGGGACACCACTGCCAGGTGCAGGGTGGGCTGAGGTCCCCCGTGATGCGCGAAAGACTCCCGTGCGGCATCCCCGGGGCACCCCAGAGCCAAGTGTTGGCCTCGGGTCCCCGCGCTCCATCTCCTGACCCCCAGCCCCAGACTCCCGCCTCCTCCTTGCCGCCTGGCGGGAACCCGGCTTCGCCTGTAGTCTGTGCGTTGGAGGTGGGAGCAGGGCGAGGCCCGAGACCCCCGAGGCTACCCCAGAATCTCAAGCAGAGGGCCAGGGCCGATTCACAGTACCCTTGTTTCGTTTCTTTAAGACAAACTTTTCTGCATGGGGCCTGGCGGGAGGGGCGAAATCCTTGGGTTGCAAGGGTGCCCACCAACTGTGCAGTTCCTTGGACCTCCACCTCTGACTGGTGGAGAGGGGCCCGGATCTACATCCCGCACGACTCCGGAAGGTTCCTGGAAGAACTGGGAGGGACTCTGCCCCTTAGAGGCAGCTCCACGCTCAGCCCTGGACAAAGAAAGATTCTTTTTCCTTGTAGGCTTGTTGGGAAAAAAAGGTATTTGGCCAGGTCTGGGTTGTCTCCTTTGTAAAGGATGTGCCCGTCTCCTACTGTCTCCTCTGGTCCTAGTGTCCTAGGAGCCTGTGTCTAGTGGTTCCCAGGTCTGGCCACCTTCACCTGACGGCTCCTGCTTTAACCTTTCCGGTGCCAGGACCCCTGCAGCTCCTCTGGGCCCCACTTCTTGTTATGATAGTCCCCTGCTGGAAAGAGGCGGGCCACTCCGGGACAGGTGCAGGGTGTTAACAGGACCCGCATGTATTCACGCATATTCTTGGCTTTTCTTTGTGTTCACTTATTACACAAACTGACAGACCTGCAGTGCGATCTCTGTAGCTGTGGGTGCAGTAAAAACTCTCATCTTGGTGGTACTGAAGCTTGAGCAAGGAGAGGCAAGTGAGTAAGAAGTAAGTCAATTGGTAGCCTGGTGTAGTGGCGCCACCTTTAATTCCAGGCAGAGGCGGGCGGATCTTTGTGAGTTCCAGGCCAGTCAGGGCTACCCAGTGAGACACCGGCTCAAACCCAGAAAGGAAGGAAGGAAGGAAGAACGGGAGGGAGGGGGCAGGAAGGACATAAAAAACAAAAATAAGTAAGCCAATTGGGCTGGGTGTGGTGGTGCCTGTCAATCATTCCAGCACCCAGAAGGCTGAGGCAGGATTTTGAATTTGAGGCCAGCCTGAACTACACAGGGAGATCCAGTCTCAAAAAAGAGAGAGAAGAAAAGAAAATTCTGTGGAGTGTGCTGTGTGAGGCTAGGGGTGGAGTGGCAATTTTAAAGAGTGGTCAGGGAGCAATTCCAGTCTTGCAGAAGATGCTGTGTGTGCAAAAGGCCTGAGGCTGCAAAGGGCCCAAGGCTCAGGTTTGCACCTCCTGTGGAATGGGGTGGGGAAGAGATAGGAGGGGCTAGGCCACAAAGGATGCACCCCCTTCTCACATGCCACAGAGGGCATCTTGTGTCCCCATCCCCAGAGGGAAGCCCCCACCCATCTAGTTCCTCCCACAGCTGCACCAGCCAAGGACAGGGTAACAGTCACCCAGGCTGAGTATCCCAGGGGTTCCACGTCTCCCAGGATCCTGGCAGCTTCTTCCCACCTGCCCTGGTCAGTGTGCTGCTCTTGACCCCCTAGTCACCCCTGTTTGGCCTCACTCCACCTTCTTCCCATGGCACCCTCTTTGAAGCATTCTATTTGTGCAGGTACAGAATTCCAACTCTGAAACTGGTTTACTAAAGGGGGAAACTGAGGCTGAGCTCAACCACAGCCTCCTGAGAGTTGGCTACAAAAAGCAAGCTGTTCTGGGTGTGTTCAGGCAACTTCTAATTAAGGAACAGTGTTGTGATTATAACGGATGTAGAAAACTGAGGCCCAGAGTGGCAAAGTCCCTCTCCCAAGGCCATGCAAGGTGGGGGAGAGGGGGGCAGAACCAGGATTTGAGCACCAACCTTTGGTGCTTGGTTGACTTGTTAACTACTCAGGCAGAACCTGAGGAGGGGAGTTTCAGCTTCCGACAGGGAAAGCAGGGTTCTACCCCACCTAGCACTGTGTTTGTGGAGCTGTTGGCTCAGCTTGGCTCGCTTATTTCCAGGAAGCTCTCAGTTCCCCCCACCCCTCAAATTCCTGGGCAGAGCAGAGGTGGAGTGGAGGAGAGGGAGAGGATGGTGTGGCGGAGTGGGGGAGCGGGATGCTGCTCCCTCTCACCAGAGCCCTAGCCCTATAGGAACAAGAAGCTGGGCTGACAAGATAGATGACCGCACCAGCTGCCCCTGAGGTCCCTGACTTGGTCACCAAATCCAGGGGAGGCTGACCCACTCAGGGTTGAAAAGGACAGGAATTCTCCACACACCCTGCCTTTTGCTAATGGGACAGGAAAGGCCCTGAGTGGTGGCGACAGGAGGTGTCAGAGGGCTGGCCCTGCCTCAGACCCCCAAGGTGAGGATCTCCTCCCACCCTGAGGATGTGACTCCCAGCCTTTGCCCCGCCCACCCTCTCCTACACAGCAGTGGGCTATTTATTTTTGTCCTTAAAGTTCTGGAGATCTGTGTGATGAAAGTCCAGTATTTTCTTCTGTCCCTCTGGAACCCAGCCGCCTTCCAAAGAGGATCTGTAAAGGGGAGATAAAATACTCAGGGGGTGATGGAAGAGGTGGGGGGACTGGGAGGGGCCTGGTTGAAATGCAAATGAATGCACTGAGTAGTCCAAGTCAGGCTCACCTAGTCAGATCCCCAAGGGCCTGGAGACCACACTTCCTTCCTTCTATACAAAGAACTGTCCGATACACAAAACTGTCCTGCTGGCAGGCCCTGTCTCATCATCATCTTAGCTGTCCTCCTTGGGCACATGACTCAGGGCACCCCAGCCTCCCCATGGCAGGACAAACCCTCCAGATCCAGATCCCAGGATCATGTTTGTGGAACTTAGTGTGGGGTCTGTTCTTAGACTTCATAGCATTGTCACTGGGGTGGGTCTGCTGCTTCCCCTGCTACATTAATGGACTGGCTCCTTGGTCTGTCTGGTCCCCCCTTTTTCATCCTCACCTTTCAGAACAGCTTCACTGGAACCTGATGGTGACGACTAAGCAGGTGAGAGGTAACTGTGCAGCCCACCCGCAGGGCTCTGTCCACTGAGGCAGCTGGCTGTAGAAATCTGCTTTCCAGGGACTGGGAGACCCGGCTGTTGGCAGACCCTGCTGGAGCTGGTGGAGGCCTGTGCACAGAAGCGTCCCCTCCATTTTCTCTTTGCGTGGGTCCTGAGGACCCCAAAAGAGACCCACACTGCAAAGTCCAGGGCATGCTGTGGGTACTGCAGCTACGTGTGTACCCTGTGTCCTGTGACCATGGGTCTTGTAGGTAAAGGATAGAAAGACGTTTCTGCAGAGCAGCAGGCTGGCATGAGACCAGGGCTGGGAATGCAAGCCTGGGTGGGAACACAGTGCCTTCACCCCCAACCTCTTGGTGACACCCTTGAGATGTGGGTTATTCTGCCACAGGCCCCCAGCAATGGGTTCTTGGCTAGGTTGTTAGATGTCCGTCTTGTTCTGGACTTCTCGGATACCCTAGAAAAGGCCACAAATTATGCAAGCTTTGGGCTCCAGGGACAGACTGTCTTCTCCAGGCACCCCCAGCTCTGAACTCTTGTCTCTCACTGCCTTCACATGGGTGCGGTCCTGTTCGGACCCACTTCCAGCCATTTTGCATCAACAAGATAATGGACAATTGATTGGTTCCTGTCTGTGGCTCTAGCTCTCAGGGCCTTGCCAACATCACAGGGCCTGAACCCAGGTCAGGCCAGACCCAGGGGACTTCAGGCACTGGGCCGCCTCCCAGAACTCCCAGGGGAGGGTGCTCTGGAAGATGGTTTGCAGCTCAGCTACATTTAGGAAGCCAAGCTCATCCTGTTCCCCTCTACTACCATATACAGGCACACAGACACACATACACAGGTTCCCAGACACACATACACATGTGCACAGGCACACATACACAAGTGCACAGGCACACATACACAGATACACAGTACGCATACACAAGTGCATAGACGTAAGTGCATAGAATACACAGGTGAACACACACATATAAAGGTGCACAGACACACACACGCACACACAAATGCATTCTTGCACATGCACACACGACCACTTGTGAATACAATACATCCAAACACGTGCATACATACACACAAAAATTCTTCTGGAGACCTAGTTAAAGCATATCTCACTGTTAACTTGAATTCTGGCTCTGCCACTCACTCCAAGCCAGGAACACTTGAATAAGTCACTTGGTCCTTAGTTTTCTCATCTGTGAAATGGAATGAAAATCTGACCATTATTACAGGCAATGATGAGGACTTCAGGGGGCTGGCACATGCAGCCCAGGGCAAACATCAGGCAGATTTCTCCTCATTAGCAGCAGGGCAGTTGCACCAGAGCCTGGCAGGGAAGGAAGTGGCTTCCTGGCTGAGGGTTGCAATGGTGGCTTCCCCTGAGTCACAGGAGGCCCAGCAGCTATGGAAGGCAGGTTTCCTAAGCCAACCCTCCTGGGCACAGCCTCCCTGTGACAGCTCTGCAGTCCATTCATTTCTATGGCAACCAGGCTTCCTGGGAAGGATAGGGGAAGTTCCTTCAGGATCTGTCTGAGAGGGGTGCCCAGCCCTGTCCCATCAGGTCTCCTGCCCAGGGTTGAATCTGGCCAGGTGACATTGTTAACATTACTCTTTCCTGTCCTTCGTGGAGCTCAAGGGCCCACACCCCAGGGCTACATCTGGTCTCTATGGTGAGTGGAAGCAGCCCTCTGTTTATCGGATGATGTCATAGGGGCTCAGAGAGACTAAGTAAATTCCCGAGGTCACAAAGCAGTGGAGAGAGTTGAACTTTGAATCCAAGTTTTCTTAAGCATTAAGACTATGTCCTCTATCCCACTCTGGCCCCTTCCTCGCCTGAGATACTCAGTTTCTTGGAGTCTGCAACATCTCAGACCCACTGTACTGAGTAAAACCACAGGCCCAAGGTCACCTTGCCCCTTAGAGACTGGCTGAAGTGGAACCAGCCCTTCCTCACCCTCTTTACTCCTCTCTTGCCCTGGGCCCCCAGTGTGCACATGGACCAGGGCAAATCTTGAGATGGCTGGAAGGAGCATCTCACTTAGGTAAGGGCTCATTTAGAGTGATGGAGCATTGTTGGCTTAGGGAGGATGGCTTAGGATGGGAGTCTGATGGGGGCAGGGCTCACTGGCAGCTTTTCCCTCCTCCACAGCTGAGAGCCACAGGTGGAGGATTAGCATCCTTCCCCCCTTCCACAGCCACAGAAATGTGACATGGGGATCTCAGAGCAGGTGGGTGTACAGGAAGCAAAGCAGGCCTGATTGGCCCTTTCCACTCTCCGTGACTCAGTGACGAAGCACAGGGCAGGAGATGGGGAGGAAAGGCCCCTCCTGGAGGCAAGACACTCAGTCTGCCCCAGGGCACCCACCTGTACCTTCTCTCTGGCCGCCTGCGCTTTTGTTATGTTCCTATCTCCTCATTTCACAGGGGAAACTGAGGCTGGGAGTGCTGCAGCAGCTAGCCTAAAGTCTATGGTTGACAAGAGTAGAGCCAAGATTCAAAGCCAGGTTCACTGACCCAAAGCCAGTGTGTGGCCAGGATTCCCTGGGGCAGAATCAGAGGTGGGGTACCTACATTTAGGTTAAAATTGCATCAGGCCTGAATCCCCTGGCCAGTGGCTTTTAGAGGGAGATAGGGAGGAGAGGCCGGAGGGCTGTGTGCAAGGTTTGCCTTGGGGCTACAGGTAGATGTGGGTGTTGCAAGGTTCTGAGTGAATTGGGGACAGACGTCAGGGCTCACAACAGTTTGCATGACTCTGGGGTCAGTGCAAGGTAGAGATCAAGTTCAATGTCCCATTCTCCCTGGGAGGCCATAGGGGTCCTTTGTGGGTGATAAGTATAGTTGCTGGTCTCAGGCGCTAGGGACAAGCACTATGTATCTATCAGCTCACGTGCCTGATACACCTGTCTGTAGATGAGGCCTACTGGTCCGGGAGGGACATCACTGTAGTAGGGCTCATTCACAGACTTGGGAACTGAGGGTTGTCGTGTGTGTTTGCGTGTGTGTGTGTGTGTGTGTGTGTGTGTGTGTGTGAGAGAGAGAGAGAGAGAGAGAGAGAGAGAGAGAGAGAGAGTGTCATGGGGCAGAGGAAAACAGTGCCCCTGGCTAGGAAGCTTCCAATACAACAAGGGGTGTGTGATGCCAGTTTCCCGACTTTCCCAGCCTCCATCCAGAGCCTCAGCTCAGAGTGTTGGGGGTTGTTGGGGAGGGTGGTGGTGTCATGTCTAATAGCTGCTCTTTTCACTGGACACTTGCTGAGATGGAACACTGACTGGTTCATGTGTTTCTCATAGCAGCGCTATGAAGAATCCCCTCCTTTCCCCATATAGGTGGGGAGACTGAGGCCTGGAGACTAAGCAGCTTGCCTACAGGTCCAGATGAGCTGTGGTATATCCAGGCCATGAGCCCAGGCAGTGATTTAGGCAGCAGAGCGCTCAGCTCTTGAGCTGTGACTTCAGTGGTCACTCTCCAAAGCCCCTCTCTGCCCAGGGTCTTGCTTCTCCTTAGACCAGCTTGGGGCAGAGGGGAGGGGGTTGGGTGATTGTTTCCATTTCCCAGCTGAACACTGGTACTCAGAGGGGAGAAGTAACTTGCTTTAACTAGTAGCGACAAATTATCCTACTTTCCACCCCAGGTGAGCTCCTTCGGTGTCCTGCCACCCCATGCCTGGCTCACAGTGGATCTCACTGAACAGTCTCTTCCTTTAAATGTGCAGGAGGTGCCACTCTGAATGCTCTGAAAGAGTTTCTCTGTCCACCTTAAGGTCTCTAGGAGGTTGGAGTTAAAGCTCTATTTCACAGAAGGGGACACTGAGACTCAAGTTGATGAAGTGTCTCACCCAAAGTCACAAGGCCCTCAAGGGGCACAGCAGGATTGAGTCAGGCATCCCCTCTCATCTGGCTTTATGAGGAAGGTTAAGAAACCAGGGGCTCCAAGAGCCAGGCTAAAATAGAAATGGACTACAGCAAGTGATGGTGTGTGCATTATGGGAGGGATGTGCGGTGCCCGGATATTTACTGTGTCCCAAGCTCCATGAACTTTCCACACACTTCAGCAGTCCCAGTGTATGAGCGTACTCCAGAGCTGTGGTAATGTCTGATGTCACCAAACACAGACACAGATGTTAGTAGCAGTAGTTCTGTTCTAAAGAAAGCTGGAAACACCCAGATGTCCCTCATTTGAGTGTTCTGAGGAATACTGTTGTACACTGAAAAGGCGTGGATCACTGGGCCTCGGCCAGGGTGAAGAGCAGAGGCATCCCAGTGAATGGGAGAATGCCAGGCAAGGAAGGTCACATACTTCATGATTCTGTTTATATAATGTTTGAGAGAACCCAGGCAAAATTACAGTGACAGACAACAGACCTGTTGCTGCTGGGAGTGGGGATGACATTGTACCTGAGATAGCACAGGGAGGCAGGGGACATGAACCTGCTGTGTCCTGACCTGGAGGTAGCAGCAACATGAATTATCTTCTGCCGCATGGATGAAAATGAGAGGTCAGAGGGCATGTGAGGAGGATGGGGCCAGGTGACCTACCTCTGAGGTGTCCAGTTCCATCTGCAGTCAGAAAATGGCAACCTGGGCTAAAGAGTTGGAGATTGCCAGGAGTAGTGTGATTTCAAGTGAGACAGCCATCAGCTTCCCAGTGCATACCTGACCCATACCTTGGAATGTTGAACACTTCTGTGTGGGGCATGGGCAGCCTTCAGTGGTCCCAATTAGTATGGGAAGGAAAAGTACAGCCGCCCATTTCACAGATGAGGACCCAGGGCAGGGTGTCAGGGGTCCTGTGGCCCAGGCCTCCCTCTCCCCTTTGGTGTCTTCCCTGTCATCTGAGCCTAAGCTGTCATCTGGAGCCTAAGTTGATGGATCTTTTCCTGATTTATCCAGCCAAAAGCCCCGGCATGCAAAATTCACATCTTTGTCTTGTTGTGCATTTGTTTGGATTATTTCTTTTGTTTTAAGGCACTGACAATTTTGCAAAGGGGGCTGGGTGATCTGGGTCCAGTCCTGGGATGGGGAGAGATTTGCCCAGGGACACGACACTGAGCTTCTGAGGCCTGCTTGTGAATGAGTGTGGTCTTCTTGCTAGAGGATTCTGAGGATACGAACAAGATGCTGGAGTACACAGGGTACTTGACATGGATGGGGTACATGTTGGAGGTAAGGCACTGTCTTGTCAAGCTGGTCTCTAAGCACCCTGGGGTGAGCTTTCCTTACCACAGAATGGTCCTAAGTCATACCTATCTTTCAGGACCTTATGATGCAGACTCTGACCACCTGGGGGCCAGCCCAGAGCCTCACCTATTCCCATCTATTTCGTTTTCTAGATTCTGAAGACTGAAGACAGGTCAGGAATCAGGCACCAACCCATCTCAGTCTCCAGCACCCAGTGCATTGCCTGGCTCACAGTACGTGCCTAGGACTGGCCTATGGTGGTCTTTGCGGGGTGGTGGTGGCAGGGTCTGGGGACTGTAGAAGATGGTGGGCAGATGTGGGTGAGGCAGAGCTGTGGGTACAGATTGCAGGGAGTAGGTGAGGTCTGGGCAGGGTGGCCTCTGCCTGAAGCCTCTTTCTCTAGATTTAATGACCTCTTCCCCCACAACCAACCTTCTTCCTTTCTAAGTCTCAGCAGGGATTGTCTGGGTAGTTACGTAGCTCAGAGCCCAGGACTCAGAGGCCCCACTCCAGGCCTGGGCAGTCCCTTTGCTCTTAGAAGCCTTCTTTGTCCTCGTGACCCAAAACGCTTAGTAGTGGGCTCCATGCAGGTCCAACTGACTTCTCTTGGTCCCTACATGCTGCTCCAGGGTTGACTGTAAGGCCCTGTCTGGCCCAGTCACCTGGGCTGTGCCATGTCCTCTGGGGCCAGGCTGGTAGCATCCTCCTCAACGCATTTTACAGGCGAGGAAACTGAGGCAGCTGGTGCTCCATCTGCTTTCAGACCCTGCCTGCACACTTCTCGCCCTACACTGGGACCTGGGGTCTGGAAGTCCAGCAGGAACAATGACTGAGGCCAGTGTCTCCCCATGTCCCTCAGCAGAGGGCAGCATGGCGGCCAAGCAGCCCCCTCCACTCATGAAGAAGCACAGCCAGACTGACCTTGTGAGCCGCCTGAAGACCCGGAAGATCCTGGGTGTGGGCGGGGAGGATGACGACGGGGAAGTGCACCGCTCTAAGGTGGGCCATGTGGAGGCTCAGAACAGAAGGAGCCTAAAACTTCCCAACATATTTCTAGAACCTTCCACAGATGGCAGGAGAATGGTAACCATACTGGCACAGTTTGGTAGGATGAACCCAGTGCTTCTTAGGGGACGTGTAGAAACTGCTTTATAAACAAGTGAAGCTTGCTAGCTCTGGGAACTGTCTATTTGATTATTAATCCATTGCATAGATGAAGAAATGGAGGCTAAGAAAGGTTAAGGGCCTTGAGGTTGTACCAACCACCAGCAGAACTAGGCTTCCAGTCCATGGTGAGCAGACCCTGAGATTTCCTTCTTAGCCACCTCTTTTCAGCTTCTCTTGAACTAGGTGCTAAGGGAGGCAGAAGAGGGGACAGCTTCCATGGGACTTCCCAGCTGGGAGAACATCATGACAGAGGTGCCCTGCTGGGACCCGGGGTATACCCAATGTACTGGAGGAGGCTGACTGGGCAGGTGGGGTGCTAAGTATCTGCCTCCCCCTGATGCCTCTGACCTGTCCCTACAGATCAGCCAGGTCTTGGGCAATGAGATCAAGTTCGCTGTGCGGGAGCCCCTGGGGCTCAGGTGAGCACTGGATCTTGTTGGGCAACAGAGCGTGTGTCCTGGGTATGTTGCTGTCATTGGATCTTACCCTGGAGTTCATCTGTTCATCATTACCTCCCTAAACAGTCCTAGGTGCCTGGGCTGCACAAGGGCGTCCACTGGGGTCTGGGGCTGACAGTGGGGGGTGGGGGTAGACATACAGGCTGTGACCTTACTCTTTGTATCTTTCCAGGGTCTGGCAGTTTCTTTCTGCAGTGCTGTTCTCTGGTGTGGCCATCTTGGTGAGCCCCTCACAACACCCACCCCTGTCCGAGGCCCCAGGTGGGAGCAGGGCCTGTGCTTGGCAACTGGTGGCACCTTAGACTCAGAACAATATTGGGTGTTGGGGGAGCAGCTGGGTGTGGCCTCTTTCCCTCATCCAGTAGCTCCCTAGGGCTCCTCCTCCATGTGGTCTCTCAGTTTCTCACACTGTTCCACGGGTTGAGGCCCATCTGTCAGGCCCGCTATTGGCTCCAGGACTGGTTCCTAATACACCCCCTCCACCTCTGTGCTGTGCTCTTGAGCCCCAGGGGTAGGGGACAATCAAGTTCTGCCCTGGAGACCTTGACCACATCCCTGGAGGAAGGAGACTTCCCCAGCCCAGGCCTAGCCTGAGCCCCTCTGCCACCCACAGGCCCTTGCACTCCCGGACCAGTTGTATGATGCAGTCTTTGATGGGGCTGAGGTCACCAGCAAGACTCCCATCCGCCTCTACGGTGGCGCCCTCCTGAGTGAGTATTGCTGGAAGGACTGTGGGGGTAGGGAGGGCCAGTTGGGCCTGGGGGATCTCTAAGAGACCCTGGGGCCCTCTGGCTCTCTCCCCATCTTGTTGGCAGCCCTGCCCCTTTATCCTGTGGCTCTCCTGGGCACATACTGCCACCTGGTGGTCAGTGGTAAATGCAGTTGGTTGGGAGTTTTGTCTGCCATTGTCTGGGATAAGAATGATTGCTGTAAGCACACTGCCTGGGCATTGGGGTGCAAAGGTAAATTTAAGCTTGGGTCCTGTCTTCCAGGGCCCCCATGGCCTAGAGGAGAGGGCAGACATCCAGATCCTCTCCTCACTCTGTCTTTGCCTCCAAGGCATTTGGTCCACTTCTGTCTCTAACTTAAGGGCACAGCTGCTATTAAACATAAGTGGTTTCCCTTTTGCTTCTCCAAAACATTCTATGGATCCCCTCGGCCTGCAGAATAAAGGTCCCAACCTCTGCCTTGCATTCCAAGTCCTTTGTGGGGTCCTGGGTCACCCCAGGGGATCCAGCCCGATCCTCTGTATCATATGATGGCCCTCAACTCAAGCCACACTGGAAGAAGCCTGCTCCCATTTCAGAAGCCCACTAGGCCTTTGAACATGCACTTTCTCTTGTTTTGTGCAATTAGGCTTGAACCTAAACCTCAAGGGTAGCTTTGGGGAAGGCAGTGAGGATGGGCTGCCATGATAGAAATCAACAGAGCATACATGCTCATATATCTGGTGTCCAGAGATCAGACACTGAAGGGTAAACTAAGATGGTGGTTCTACTAAAATCAAGGTCCATCGTTCTTTCCCTGGGGAGTTCCTCAGGGTGAGTCTTTACTGGGTACCAGTTTTCTGTCTCCAGGGGCCCCTCTGTTAGGAACTCACAGTTACAACCCCTCTGGCTGTGAGTTCTCAGACTCTGCAAACAGAATAGCAAGGTCAGAGTCAGCCTAGGTCTGGAGGTCTCCTCCCCAGTGTATAATGAAGATGTGGAGTCCCAGGGAAAAGAGTGTCCAGCCCATGTCCCCGTGGGGCCTTAGAAATGGTACAAATGGGCTCAAGAGCAGAGAAGGACCTGAAAGAGAGAGGACTGAGGGAGATGTTTGGACCTGAGGAGTGGTGTTGTAGGGTAAGAAGGCCCAGGCCCCTGGGCTGGGGGTCAGGCTGAGCTTGTGCTTGCCCCCCATCACAGGCATCTCTCTGATCATGTGGAATGCGCTCTACACAGCTGAGAAGGTCATCATCCGCTGGACTCTGCTCACTGAGGCCTGCTACTTTGGGGTACAGTCTTTGGGTGAGTCCTTGGGTAGGCTGGCAGGGTGTAGGGGGTAGGTCTGCCCCCTACAGGGAGTGACTAAAGCATACCTGTGGGGAGGAGAGCAGGGATAGAGCAAAGGAGACCTCTATAGCTACCTGCATGCCTACACACACACCTGCGTCTGAATCCACAGCCCATATGCTCCTATCCTTCCAAGCCCACGGCTCAGTGGGACTCAGGGCTGGGTACTACCAGGCATCTGCCATGTGGGGGCAGCAGAGCAGGCTATCTGTGGGCTGGGCTGGGCTCTCTTGAGCTCTGAAGTCAGTGAGGGACCCCACAGGGATGGGGGTAGGGTACTCACAGTGGCATTCTGCTATGATAGCCTTGAGTACATCTCTGTCCCTGACTTCTGGCCCTCTTGGCTTCCTCCACAGTAGTCACTGCCTCGCTTGCTGAGACAGGTCCCCTGTCCCTGGGGACCCTCCTGCTCCTGGCCAGCCGTCTCCTCTTTGTCGCCATCAGCGTCTACTACTATTACCAAGTCGGCCGGAAACCCAAGAAAGTGTAGCAGGCTGGATCTGCCTGGGCCTCGACCTGGGCCAGGGTGGCTGGGGGCTTTAGTCCCTGTGGGCGCCAGGCAGGCAGGGTACACACACCTTCCTTCCCTCCCGGGCACTCCCTGGAGGCAGCTGGGACCTCCTGAGTTTCTAAGAGTGACAAGTCAGGTCTGGGCCTCTGTATCCCATCCTTTATCCCACACAGGAATGCCCCCTTGTCCTGGCTTTCTTGGCTTGCAGACCCTGACAGATATTGCTGGGAGTGGAGTGCTGGGGTATGGGCTGAGTTCAGGCCAGCCTTTCTGCCAGGAGACCCCTAGCCTCAACCTAGCAGTGGGTCTTAGCGTCTCTATCCAGAAACCTGAGAACTGAGGCTCCTCACGTGTGGGACCCTCATACCACACAGACACACACACAGACACACACACACGCACACACATTGTTTCCATAGGCCACCACGAAAGCTATTTTCAAGTGGGTGTCTCGCTTGGACTCTGGCTCCCACCCAGGGATGCCCACCTGGACCCTCTCTTCGGTCTGCTGTAGGGCACTCTGGTACTATAGCTGCCTGTACCCTGGGGTCCCAGAGTCCCTCCCCCACAGGCTAGGCTGAGAAGCCACAGACCCCTGACAGGTTGCTAGCTGGGTGTAGGCGCCCTGTGTGTGAGGGTTTTGAGGGGAAGCAGAGCAGGGGCATTTTCTTCACAAGGTGTCTAAGGCTGATGTCCACCTGGCTCAGTGCCTCTCCAAGAACCCTCCAGGAGCTGCTCAGAGGCCTCCTTTGTAGAACGTGCAGCCCCTCAAACAACATGGGAAGCAAACAGAAGTGGCCTAGCTCCTCAGTACCCTGACAGTGGGCACCAAGACTGAAAATACCCCGTGGTGTCACCAGTCTATGTGGCCCCTCCTCTTGGTCCTGGCTCCCAGCAGCATCCTTCCCCTTAGCAGCAACCACATGAGGAGAGGTGGCTTGAAGCCCAGCTCCTTCCTGTCTGCAGTGGGAAGGTCCCAGGTGCCTGGGGACCCTTCCTCCATCACATCTGGGCTTACTGCTCTCCCTAGCATCAGCTGACTCTAGTCAAATGCTCCTGTGACAATGGCCTGTGGCCAGCAGAGGGAGCTCGGCAGAGGTCTCAGTGGAGGGCAGGCCCAGTGGGAGCCTAGGTTGCTGCTGTAAAAGGGCCTGGCAGGGGTGGGGAGACTTGCTCTCTCAAGGAGGGCCCAGTTATCTGCTGGGCTTCTGCCTCCTGCCACTGGCTTTGCACCCATCCCTAGAGTTCCACTTCTTGCCTGCCGTGGATTCCTGGGCAGATATAACTGCTGCCCGCTCTCAGCACAGCCTCAGCCACTAAGACCTACTGGCTCCATTCTCAGCCCTGTGGGGATAGATCCTTCTGGATCCTCTGTGAATGCAGATAAAGTCCCAAGGGAGGTAGTCAGGGAAGCAGAAAGCACTAGCTGTGCTCTGTGGGACATTGCCAGTCTTCCTCTGAGCAAGAGGAGGTGGCAGACCTGCCCTGGATGTGGTGGCCAGGTCATGCTGGTTAAACTACAGTGATACCTGTGCGTGGGGTAGGGCCAAGGTCAGACAAGGGCTGGCAAACCGACCTGTGGCCTGGGGAAGACATTAAGGTTGGAAGGAGGCAGTGACTTAGACAGGAACTCCATCCTGCATCCGAGCTCGAGGTGCCCTGGCTGCCCCTCCCAGCTCCCCTAGTCATGCTTCTGCCTTGGCCCTAGCCCTCAACCCCATCAGCACCACCTCTATCACGGTCACTATTTATTCTTCATTCCTCTTCTTTTTGTAAGAAACAGTCACAAAAAACAGTGCAAAACAATCTGTGTGGGTGTCTTGTTTTTATATTACAAAACTTCTGTTGATATAGATTATAAAAAGGGGAGGTCTGGGGAGATAAACATGATAAATTAGTTCTATTTTCTACTGCAAGGGACATTTACAGGTCCAAAATAGACTTTTAACATATGACCTGGTGGTGGGGAGTGTGACAGGATTCCTAGTTGGGGTGCTGGGCTGGGAACCTGGGAAGAGTCTGGCCCCTGGGCTTGGGACATGGGGCAGAGGTGGGGACTGAACCACAGACCCAGTCCTAGACTCCTGCCTGTAGGATATGGCTGTCCCCTAAGGGTGTGGCTCTAGGACGGGCAAGGGACAGCTCTGTTCACTGCCCTGTGGGGACTCATAGGGAGTCTCAGGTGTTGGTGTTGGATCTTGAGGTGAGGTGAAGGGAAGGCTCCGCTCCCCTCCCCTCGTCTGCCAGTGTACAGAGATATGCCTTGAGGCTAGGGCTGCACTCTAGCAGAGGCTAAGCTGCCTACCCAGTCACTAGGGCAGCCTCAGACAGCTGTGGAGATGACTACCAGTCTCGATAATTCCACAGTGGGTAGCTAACTCCACAGTTTGCAAAGACCACCTGCCTCCCCTTCTGGTTCTATAAGGCTGATGGCTGTGTCGAATGGACTAACTTGAAGCTCTTCAGCACCTGTACGGAAGGTTCTCAGGTTGAGAGTCTCTAATCCACCCTGAAACTGCCTGGGTTAAATGTCCCCCTCCTGGCCATTCTTTCTTCCAGCTCCCTCTACCCTTTTCTAGAAGCTTGGAGTGGCTCTGGACTACAGCCCCTGTAGTGGAGTTCAGGGGGTGCTCTGTCCTACTCAGCCTGGCCATGGGCTTCTGGTTGACCTCAGCCAAACCATTTGTGTTTCCAGGAAGCTAGAATTCAGAATGTGGTGGGTCCCAAGTCCAAGTCAGGGTCCTATGAGGCTGGGCTGTGAGTCAGCTGTGGGCTCCCTGGCCTGGGGACTCAGCCTCTAGGAAGCTCACAGCTTCATTTTGGGGGATGCTGGGCAAGCTGTCTTAGAGACAGCTAGGGAGGGTGGAGCTCAAAAACCCTGAGGAAGGCCAGGACAGGTGGGGACAGCATCAAGAGGTGAGAGAAGTGGGAGGAGGTTCACCGTGGACCCAGATAGAGCACAGAGCTGCTGGCTGCATTTGGCAGGGACACGGGGATTGACATGGGAGCCTTGGGCTCCAGGCTGTGGCTGTTACTCGCAGGTGGCAGGAAGGCATGAGAGAAGCTGGAGCTAAAACGGGCTTTTCCTGCAGAGAGACCTGCAGAGGGACAGTAGAGAAAGGAGAGCCAGTACCATCCTGTTCCTTTCAGCCCTGTGCCCATGGCAGACATCACTAATCAAATGAGATCCTGACAGACATCACTAATGGATTCTATCACCCTTTTCCACTGAGTGCGCATCAAACCTGGGATCCTCAGCACAGCTCCCAGTAGCCACTCCTGATTAGTCAGGCCAGGTGTCTTGCAAACCAGTTGCAAACCAGGTCTGCAGGCTGAGTTTCTCTCTCTCTCTCTCTCTCTCTCTCTCTCTCTCTCTCTCTCTGTGTGTATCACATGGACAACTTTGGGTATCATTTCTTGGGAG